AGGGAGTATCCCGGCAGTCGCAGCGCTTCCCCTTCGCCTTTCTTCCCGTTTCAGACGGCTGTAAAAAGGGAGAGCACAGAGGGTGTCCCAGCTCCCTCCGCGCGCTCGTGGAGTTTGTCTTTCTTTTTCGGCTGCTCCTTTGCCTTTCCTCTACTGGGAAGCTGCTTTGTGTGTGTGTGATTTCGAGAAATCTCAAGCACTCTTGCAGACTTGGGTGTGTGCCTTACTCCCACCACAGCTTCGTGCAAACTCATCCTCTCGCTGCAGTTGCCCACTTGGTGGACTCTGCCCTAAGGAGGAGCTGTCATTTGCTGCAGTTTAGCCTGGGTCTCTTGAAATCTGTTAGGAACATTAGTGCTGCTTCTACAAGGACACCCACCCACAAGATACTGATAATAGTGTGTGGTGATATGGCTGCTGGGAAGCTGATGTTCTTGGCTGCTCCATGCGTGCTGACACACACAGTGAAAATGGATGCATGTCTGTGTCACATCCAAAATTCATAGTGTCGAAGCTGAGTTTACCCATGTACGAATCAGTAATAGATCTGGTCTGTATTTAATATTAATTTGGAATAGTCTTGTTCTACACCCTGTCAATGATATGGGTTTCATTCCCCACACAAGCATGTATTGGAAGAGGACAGGTTTACTCTTCTGTAAATCACAGTGGTTAACTAACCCACATTAAGAGTCTTGGTCCTGAAACGCATACACTGAGTAACCATACTTGTTAGCCACTTGCTGCTAGGTGTGGCATGAACTGGGATGATAACCTGGGAGATTGTTCTGGATTGCTTTTGCAGAGTAATCTTTCCACAACGCAGGCGACTGTCATAATGCAGACTATTGCTAGACTGCTAAAGGCTGGAGAATTGCAGATGGCGTGATGGAACCATTGTACACAACGCAGGCGACTGTCATATTGTTCTGTCTGCTCACAGTTTTTGCAGATTGTTGTAGAACTTCGAAACGCTGCTTGATCAAAATGGCAGTTGGATGAAATTAAAGGGTGTGTGAACCATTGGAAGAGATACCTCTGCCATTCTCCTCTCCTCTTCTTTAAAACTATTGTCTCTGGCTAGCCTGTGTATTGGTGACTTATACATAATGCCTGCTTCCTTCCCCCTTTCTTTGGAGGAGTGGAAAGTGCAGCTTTTGCTTCTGGAGAATGAATGGTGGGTCAATCATCACTCACTGAATTGTTGACAGCACAGTTCTACAAAGCTCTGTTCCCCAAAGGCAGGGCACTGCAGAACCATCTCCCAATTTATTCAACCGGGCTATAACTTACTCTGACTGAACTGTAACTGGGACAAACATCTTTTCTCTCTTACTTAACAGTGTGCTTTCTTGTTCTTCACAATGCTTTGGAAGAGAGGCAGAGCAAACTGTTGGATACACACCAGTGTGTGCCTGTTTAAGGGTATATAGTTTATTTCAAGTACCAGCTTTCAAAATACCACTTTTCTAAACAATGCAAGGAAATAAAGTTAATTATATAGTTGACCAGAACGGCATACATTAATATAGTGTTTTATAAATAATGTTATACGTGTGTTCTGGTACATAAAACACTTTCCATATAAATAGTGTTTGTTTTTTATTCTTGCTATGACACTGAGGTGTTTTGGCCTGGTGCCTAAAAGAAAGTAAAATAGACACCAGGAGAGTCTCAAGGGGGAGGGTGTTCCAAAGGTAAGGGCCCCCCAAAGAAACCCCCTTTCTCACCCCCCCCCCCCCCCGCCGAGGGCACTGACAACAAGGATGGAGAGGCAGATCTTAATTGGCAGGTTGGATAGTATGGGAGGAGGCAGTCCTTTGAGTGCCCTGTCACCAAGCTGTTTAGGCCCTTAAAGGTATATGAATCAGCACTTTGAATTCTGCTTGGAAATGAATAGGCAGCCAGTACAGATCTTTCACCACAAAGTGATATGATCCCTGTAACTAACCCAAATGACTGCCACATTTTGGACCAGTTGAAATTTCTAGACTGTTTTCAAAGGCAGCTCCGTGTAAGTGTGCATTACAGTAATCTATTGTAGTTTTGCTGATGGTGGTTTAAAGGGCTGGTAGTTGTAAGAAAGACGGGATACTGTCCTCAAAGGGAGCATGTAATTTTAATGTTATCTGAATATGAAGCAGGAACATTACAGTTGATCACTCTGTCATGCTCTTGGCCTAACCTACTTTACAGGGTTGTTTTGTGTGTAAAATATTAGCTGCTTGAGTCCCCATTTGAAAAAAGATGAAATATAAATAAAGTAAATAAGAAAAGTATTTTACAGCCAGATCATATGCATTTTCTACTTGGAAGCAAGTCCTGTTTAGTTCAGTGGGCTTATGTCAGTTAAGTATGTGTAGAATGGCAGCCGTAGTAAGTTTTTTTGCAGGGAGGGTGGAAGGCGGAGCAGTCTGAAAAATAAGACGTTGCTTCCTGATAGTTTTCTGAAGGGTACCTTTTGTACCTGTATTTTGGGTTTATTTACTTTTAGGTAGTGCCCCCCACCATTCAGATAGGAACACATGCACAGGAGGAGTACCATCTGTCTTTTAGCAGTGCAAGCAACTATATCTGAGAAGTCACCTGGTTATTCATTAACTTTCTGTTTACATTTGGTAAACCTTTTGCTTCTATCCAACCACACAGTTCCTAAGACTCAAGGGCGTTTCTATTCTTTTAAAAAGTGGTGGTAAGTTCCACTGGTTCCTGCTTTTTGCTGCCTCTAACAAAAATTGTGTTCCTGGCAGTCTGTAGGCCCTCAGGAACAGCATAGGGAAGGCAGTAGTGAGATGGAGGAATTTGCGGAAATTGTTGCCCTCTCTTAAGAAAACTTAAGTCTCTAGATTGTGGTTGGGTCACTGTGGGTCTTGATGCTGTAATTGCTCCCGTCCTTTTTAGTCATACTAGTTTAGTACCACCCCCTCCATCTTTTCCATGCCCCTTCTTTAAATTAAATAAGTGTGAAATAATAAGTACCTCTGGACACATGCACGCTGTGATCACACACACTAAATAATCCACTTTCAATCCACTTTCAGTGTAGTTTCTAACTGGATTTTGCCAGTTTGTACAGTAAAATCCAGTTGGAAAGTGCATTGGAAGTGGATTGGGAGCGAATTATTTAGTGTGTGTGATCGCAGCCATAGAGTGCCTTTTACTCCTCCCAAGTATTTGTTTAACAAGCAGGACTTCTTTTGGTACAGGTAGTTAGGCTTCATACAGGTCTGTGTTCCAGCAACCCCCCCCTCTCTTTTTTTAAAATAACACTGTCTCCCACCCTTTGACCAAATTTTAAGGTAAGTCCAATTTTGCCTCAAACATTAAAACACTTATGCAAGAACTACATTTCTGGTTGCAGTTGTCTTTAGTTATAATAAGACAGTTGTCTGTAAAGTAACTCTGTGATTGAGAACACTGGGGATGAATTCCCACGTTACAGTAAACACAGGTTACAGTAAACACATACTAGTTAGTTACCAAGCCTAAATAAATTGTGGTTTGTATATAAAGTTCAGTTTGTCTGCTTGTTGGATCTTTATTTCAAATATTTTTATGCATGCCTTTCTTCTGACCAACTCAGGTCTTAAGGCCGGTAACAACAATAAAACTGCATAAAATCACAATTAAAATAAATAAGAACATAAGAGACGCCAATATTGGATCAGGCCAAAGGCCCATCCAGTCCAGCACTCTGTGTCACACAGTGGCCAGAAATACCAGGTGCCATCAGGAGGTCCACCAGTGGGGCCAGGACATTAGAAGCCTTCCCACCATCCAAAGCTACATTAAAATTGCCATTCTAAAGCCACCTTGTATGCAGTTGGAATAATATCTCCTTTGACCCAGAACTGGACTGCCCCAAAAGCTCTGCAGAATAACTTCCCATGACCTCTTCTGGGTGGCTGTTCTGCAGGCATGGGGTAGCCACTGAAAAAGCCCAGGCTCTTGTAGAGCATGCTGTAGGCAAAGGGTGCATAGAAAAGAGACCATGTTGTGAGAAGGGAAGCTGCCACATGGTAACATGTAGGGAGAGGTCGTTCTTCATTGGTTGCCAGTGGAGCACCAGATCAGATTTTGATGCTTACCTTTAAAACCCTTAGTGGTCAGGGATCTACATACCTTGGGACCACCTCTCCCGGTATGTCCCCCGAAGGGCATTAAGATCAGCTGATAAGAATCTTATGGTGGTCTCTGGCCCAAAAGATATCCGGCTAGCCTTGACCAGGACCAGGACTTTTTCTGCCCTGGCCCCAGCCTGATGGAACTCTCTGCCAAGTTACATCCATGCCCTGCCTGACTTATTAAAGTTTTGCAGGGCATGTTAGGCAGAGCTGTTCCACCAGGCCTTTGGTTGAGGCCAGCAGCGTTCCCCCCTCCATCTGCCTGGCACCCTTCCCCCCTCCATCACTGAATGCTAGCATTGCCATCTGTCTTTAAAATATTTCTGAAATGTTTTAATGTTTTGAAAGTGTTCTATATTGACTTTTCTGGTTTTGTTTGATTTTATGATTTAATGAACTAAATTGTTGTAAACTGCCCTGAGCCCCACGCAAGTGGGGAATGGCAGTCAAGAAATCTAATTTAATAAATAAAATCCAGGTATGGCGGTCCCAGTTCATGGAGGGTTTTTAAGTAAGCTCCAGCACCTTGGATTTCCTCAAGGGCGATACTCTATTCAACAAACTGTTGATTTGAATTTGGATGTCACACCAAGCCACAATTAGTACAGACTTAAGAAACTGGCTACTAACCGTAATTTGAAATCCTGGTTTTGTGCCAACTGACAAACCCATTTGTAGGACTGCTTGCACTTAGATATCACAACTAATGAAAGTTTGATGAGGCAAAGTTTATTGTAATGTCTGAATATATCAACCTAAGGCTGAATTAAAAACTTTTTAAAAATTGGTAAGAAGGTTTTATTATTTCAAGTTACATGGGCACACACTATTTTGGTATGTAGAGTTTTCTTTTTATTCCATCTTGCTTTCTTCCAGGTTACCATTAAGAATATTGAACGAGAACTCATCTGCCCAGCATGCAAGGAATTATTTACCCATCCGCTTATTCTCCCTTGTCAACATAGTATCTGCCACAAATGTGTAAAAGAAATTCTCTACTTTACACTTGAAGATTCGTTCAATGATGCTGCCTCCGAGACCTCCAATCAAAGTAGTCCTCGTATCCGGATTAGTTCACCTAGCATGGATAGGATTGACAGGGCTAGTAGATCAGGTATGTACAAGAAGCCCTGCTTGATCAGTGCAAAGTCTGAGTATTGGAATCTGTTTGTAAGTAGTCAAAACATCCCTTTTAACTCATTTGTTATCATCAAGTGTTCTTAGAAGATAAGTTTTGAGTGAAACAGATCCCATATAGTTTCATCAGGCCATTCTAGTAAGTTGTGATTCCTTGAGGCAGCATCACTTTGCTTAGAATATACCTCATTTTTTTACTGGTTTAATTTCTGCTCTGGCAATTTTTGTTAATCGGCATAAACTCCTTCCATTTTAATAACAGTGAGATTAAAATTGTAATCCCTCATGGCTTCTCAATTACATATGGTTTCACCACTGTTGTGGTGCTGAAACTCTTCCCAAAACCCAACTAAAATTACCCAGTGGGTTTGCAGTAGCATTCTTTCTTGTCATGGACTTCACTGATGTTATTGTGAGATGCAGAATTGAACAATAATTTAGAATAGCTTCAGCACATATTTACATATATGAGATTTTATTTAATAGAGAAATGTCAATACTGTTGCATCAGCTCTGTTGAGCAGAGGGTTACAAATTACCTCCACGGTGAAAGTCTACTGTAAGTCTAAGCTAATAATAAATAGTTGAAACTTTTAAAATAATAAAGGTAACCCCCTCCTCCAGTTAGATACATTGAGAACTTTCTGTTGATATTAAAGGACATTATATAATGAAATAGTGTTACCCCCACTTCTCTCATGTCTGATAACAGTTGTGCTGCCTGATCTGATGCAGGTTTACTTGGATGAGTAAGTATGCACAGAATTGCAACAAACCATTATTCTGTTCTACTCTGTTTAATTGCAGTGGGAAAGAGGGCAACTGATGCTTTATCTTGGGTATATCATGATAGACTGTTAGAGAATCCTTTCTATTTCTTAAAACAGCTCTCTGTTCATTGTTTACAGCCTCACAGAGGAAGTCTCTTGGGTGGAGAGGTAGAAATGCTTAACTTTTGTAAACATGTAGATAGTGTAGTACTTGGATCTTATTAAATATCTTTGACCTATAGTTCTTTAAACATCAGTGGTCAAACTTAGCAAGTGGCTAGAGATAATACTATTGGGGCAAGGGCAATCACTGGTTTTTGTGAAATAGATTTAAAGGTGAACTGGATTTCCATGTGTAAATGTCTCTTTGTGCACAATCTAAAATAACTTTCATACAAATAAAAATTATGTTATAGTGGCCCTTTTAAATTGCCTTTGATGTAGCAATTCCATTGCTTGTAAGGTCATAGTTTGTAGCATTAAAATGAGGATTAGTGATGTAATATACTGATCTAATGCATTGTATTATGAAATGAAGTGTTTTGCAAAACACTTAATGTAATACTCAGTACGTTAGCTGGTGAAGCAGAAGCTGCCAGTGGCAATTGTACTAAAATGGCATATTGTGCTCTGATTGCCTTAAACCTGTACTTTTCTTGGAAACAGTGATGCCTCATTGCACCATTGATTTCTGTTGGAGGGATTACAGATACTAGCGCTCCATCGATCTCTACTCAAGTGCCACTCCTAAACTCCATATGGCATGACTGTGCCTGTAATAATGTTAGCCTATGTGTTGATCTAGGGAGCTGCGGTGGCTCAAGTGGTTAAGATGCTGAACTGCAGGCTGTGGAAGGTCAGTAGTTCAGCAGTTTGAGACCCGGGTGCCGCATGATGGAGTGAGCTCCCATCTCTAGTTCCAGCTCCTGCCAACCTAGCAGTTCGAAAGCAAGAAATTGCAAGTAGATAAATAGGTACCACTTCGGTGGGAAGGTAACAGCGTTCCGTGCGCCTTGGTTTTTAGTCATGCTGGCCACATGACCACGGAAACGTCTTCGGACAGCGCTGGCTCCTCGGCTTTGAAACGGAGATGAGCACCACAACCCTAGAGTCGGATTTGACTGGCTTTCGAGCAAGGGAACCTTTTATGTGTTGATTTACTACTTTTGTTGTTTTGGTAAGTCTCAGAACATAAGAACGTAAGAGAAGCCATGTTTGATCAGGCCAATGACCCATCCAGTCCAACTCTCTATCGCACAATGGCCAAAACCCAGGTGCCATCAGGAGGTCCACCAGGAGGGTCAGAACGCCAGAAGCCCTCCCACTGTTGCCCCCCAAACACCAAGAATATAGGGCATCACTGCCCCAGATACAGTGCCCCATGTATACCTTGTGGCTAGTAGCCACTGATGGACCTCTGCTCCCTATGTTTATCCAATTCCCTCTTGAAGCTGTCTAATGTGTTCAGTCTCACTATCTTCTCCTGAAAGACCCACACAAACACCCTGGATTCAGTGATGTCAGTTGTGTATGAAACTATGCACAAACAGAAAAACGTTGCACTGATTGTTATTTATTTATTTATTTATTTATTAAACTTATATCCCGCCCTACCCCCGTAGGGCTCAGGGCGGCTAACAGGCAAAAGTATGCAACAGTAAAAACAAAGTTCTCAATATTAAAAATAAATATACATTTAAAACAGTTCCAAGTAAAGAATTAGATTCAACTTTAGATTTAAATTTAAAAATACACATGAAAATTCATATCTGACAACTCCACAGAGAAGATGACGGTCTTGTCCGGAGGTTCCCTAAGATCGTTCGATGTTTTCAAACATTCCTTCAGATGGTTCAGATGTTTAAGGTGTCCAAAAGGATCCAAAGCTTCTGATGTTTCCTTCTATTCCTAGGGCCTCTTCCAGCCCCCGTGATGGTAATATATGAGGGGGCCGGAGGGCGGCGGCCCCTACTTAAAAGCCTGGTGGAAGAGCTCCGTCTTGCAGGCCCTGTGGAACTGCATCAGGTCCCGCAGGGCCCGGATCTCCTCTGGGAGCTCATTCCACCAGGCAGGGGCCGCCATTGAGAAGGCCCTAGTCCTTGTGGCGACCAACTTTGCATCTCTGGGGCCCGGTATAGATAGTAAATTTTGGGCCCCAGACCGTAGTGCTCTTGGGGGAACATACGGGGTAAGGCGGTCCCTTAGGTAGGCTGGACCCAGACCATGTAGGGCTTTATAGGTTGTTCATGTCAGTTTCGTTCTTTTAGGAGGAGGAGTGCATTTGAGAAAGCTTGGAAATGGAAACAGCTTACAACACTAGATTGAGGAATAAACGTTATTTACCTTTAAAGCAGTGGTTTGCAATCTGAGACAGGAACCAAAAGTGAATCAAGACTGTCTTAGCAGTTGGATTGTGAGGGAGGTAGAGACATAGGGAGAACTAGGAGAGTATATTCTAGGAGGCTTGATGACAAATTTGAGTTTGCCTCTGCATAATATGCGAAATGGCCATGTGATACAGCCTGTTGCTCAGTAATGGTATGTAATTGTGTGTTGTGTTAAGCACAGTCAATTTGCTTCCAATTTATGGCAACCCGATGAATTAATAACCTCCAAAATGTCCTATCATTAACAGCCTTGGTCAGATCTTGCAAACTGAGGCTTTTTTCATCGAGTCAATCTATCTCAATTATAAGTCAATTATAAATACTAAATATTTTAAAAAATCAAATATAAACTTGTTCAGTATTAATGGATATAAGATTTCCGTGCTTTATGTTGGAGAGGGGAAGAGTGGCATGAGGTTACATAAGAACATAAGAACATAAGAGATGCCAATGTTGGATCAGGCCAAAGGCCCATCCAGTCCAACACTCTGTATCACACAGTGGCCAGAAATACCAGTGCCATCAGGAGGTCCACCAGTGGGGCCAGGACATTAGAAGCCCTCCCACTGTTGACCCCCCCCAAGCACCAGTATGACAGAGCATCACTTGCCCCAGAGTCCCTATCTATACCTTGTGGCTAATAGCCACTAATAAGCCACTGATGGACCTGTGCTCCATATGCTAACTGCTCCACATTACTAATGGGGTGCTGAAAAGTACAGTAAGCTTAGAAGAAAAAGTCTGAGAACCACTGCTTTATAGGAAAGCAAAGCTGAGTATATTGGATCAAAATATGGCTCACTGAATCTTAGTAAACTTAAAATTATCAGTTTGTGAATATTTATTCTTGCTGTAGCTCAATTCTTCTATCTCAGAAATCATTAAGAAAAATATGTTATCTGGCGAGAGCAAAAATAATTGCTAAGCTGTACAGGAATCCAGTTGACCTTAAAATGTTCACCTTTTTTGATTTTTTTAAAAATCCACATTTTTTTTCTCATGGCCATTCATAATGCTGGTGATATCACTGTATTCAAAAACTCAAGTTCAAGATTTTTAAATCCCTTTTCTAGTTATTCTGTTATTTGTTCTAAGTTACACTTTAGAATATTAAGAATTCTTTTTTGTATACAACTCATTGCACATTTGTGACGGCCTTGCTGGAGAGCAGCCATAGTTTCTACTTCAGTCACAAGAGAAGCAGAATTAGGAAGGTGGTACTGAATATGGATTTTTAGCCACAAAGCTATAAAATTGTGTTTATTTATTTATTTATTTATTTGTCAAACTTATACCTGCCCTCCCCGCAAGCGGACTCAGGGCAACTTACATAAAAGCATAAATACATTAAAATACAACTTTTAACCATACAATAAAATATTATAAATACAAAGTGCTGGCGGCTAATTAAATTAACAAGTTCTATACATATACACAGGAGAAAACAGTGGGTAAAGTACAGCTCTTCTCAGCCACTGGATACAAAATAGAATTTAAGGCATGGAAGACAAATGGGGAATGAACAGTTCTTATTAGCCCTTTAAAGAAATTTGTTATAGGAATCAAATATGGAGCACAATGTGGAGGCATTTGCCTCTCCTTTAATAATAGTCAATTTTTTTCCCGCTAGCTAGGATACAATACTCATAACTTCTAAATACTGTACATAAGTACAGTGCATGCATGACATAGCTGTTGGTCTGAGCAAAGATTACATGAAAAGGGATGGAAAATCTTGGATCTTGTGAATTTATAAATTGTTGGCATGGTGTCACCAGTATGTATATAAAATCATGCTTTCATTATCATACTTTCTCTAACTTTTAAGTGACTGAAATAAGGTGTCACAGTTCTATGGAACTTAATTCCATATTTTAGCTTGAACAAGAAGGAATGACTGAAATAAGGCACAGTTCTATGGAACTGAATTCCATATTTTAGCTTGAACAAGAAGGCTCACAGGTGTTAACACTAAGGGAGTATGCTACTGGCCAAGCATTTCAGATTGCATTGTCTAAACTTGACCACTACACTGTTGTGTGTGTATGTGCTTGTGTAATTTAATTTTGATTTTGTCTTTGCCTGCGTAACTGGCAAATAGCTTGGAGTGACATTGGTTGCCTGCAGTCCTAGTCAGCATTAGGCTGTTTTAGTGATTCTTTTTGCATGTTGCATGTTACATCACTCCTCTACTCAGACCGCTGTGTTCTTCAAATTGTATGTGGCATGCTTAATTTATATTTCAGTAAAGGCTTTTAAATTATTGCTTTGTATCATGCATGTTCTGCTCATATCCTTGTTGCAGGGTTTTCTGTGATTAAATTTACTAAGTACAAGCATAATTTTAGTTCATCGTTTGGGATGAATTATAAATACACGAATCACTATAATTACTCTTTTGTCTATGAATCCAAGAGTAGTGAACTTTCTGAAGGTTCCTTGGAGCATTTTATGGGACAAACGTATATGTTTCATTTATTTGCTCTTATTCTGAGAAAAGGGTTTTGAGTCATTAAATGTACATGTACAACTAATAGAGAAATATATTTTAAGACAATGATGTTCCACTACAAGGATATTTCATGATGATTAAAACTGTGTACACACACACCTTTAGCACACAGTTGGTATGTGCTAACCAGCTGATTTGGTTGGAGTCACTTGAATGCTGGGATGTTATCATATGCAAGAAAGTTTGTGTTTCTTGCCTCTGTGGCTTTGCTCACAGACAGTGGACTGAAAATTGAAGTTGCCATCTTGAGTATCCCAGTTTTTGTCTTCTCAGAATCAAGTCTCTTAGAATTTGGAGGATTAATGTTAAAATATCTGTAGTAAAACCCTAGAAACCAGTGACTTCCACAGCTTCCTGATTTTTCTCCAAAGCTGCTGCAGCTTAAGTCTGCTTCATAGGCTTTAATATGTGTCTACTATGCTAGTTTTAGCCAAAAGTCCAAATTCCTCAACAAAATTTATCTAGGAAGCAAGATACGTTATACAGAATACATGAAAGTTGACTACTTTACATAAATCTGGTCCCAATTTAGGTTTCTTTGGCATTGGGTTTGGGTAATATGGCTGAAAAGTCAGGATTTATCATTGGTGTACAGCCTTGGCTACGTGCTGATAGTTCCATATTTAGTATTTGAAGAGGGCTCTGTTCCTGGCTGGTCCAAGTCATTGATGCTTACAGTGGTAGCTTTGCATTTCTCAAGCTTGAAATAAAAATTGATCCTTATATGAAGATGACATGGTTTTTATTGCGATCCAGGAAGATACACAACAGGAAATGAAATCAAGTCATTTACCTGCTCAGAGTGAGAATGGAATTTAATAGCTGGGTTTAATATTGAGGAAGTCTTTTTTTTAACTGGTGTACCTTTGTTTGGATTTCTTAGTAATCCTCTCCCAATCTTGCACTCAGCATGCATCTTTCAGCCTTCACAGCCATTTAGAAGGAATTGTGAAAGCCTATCAAGTGAGCTTCAGGCTGAACAATGACTTGCCATTTCCAAATACTTCCAGTATGATTTTATTAGGCAAATCCCTCTCATCTTACATATTGGGGCTGATCGAAATAGGTTTACCATTTGACCGGTTCTGCTGAGCAGACCCATGCTGCCCTGTTCCCACTGGCACAAAAATGATGGGTGGTGGGGGTAAATGGGTGGGGAAGTAGATGTCACAACATGCTAGGATGTCTCTCAACACTCTAGGAATTCCTCAAAACTCTATGGTAAAACCCAGAAATTGATAGCACAATGTCAATTGACGCTTCCACTCTTCATGCTCTGTCCCCAAATACAGGGATTGAGGGTAGAACTCTGGCGACCCTAGTCCAAAAATGAGATATTCCTGTGTCATCCTTTTTACAAAGATTAGCAATTTGAATGCATTATTTAGTACATTAACATTTGTACAGTGCCAATTTGAACAGTACTTACTAAACAATTTGTAATTTAAATTCCTAAATAAGTATCTAGCAGGTATCACTTACTTGCTTCTATCAAACCATTTACCTTACTATATCATAACTCAACCAGATCCTGCCATCCACACAGGTTGGAAACGCAATTCATTAACTCCTAGGACAACTACTTTCCCTTGTCCTGGATGCCGGCATGATATCGAACTGGGAGAGCGTGGCATCAATGGCCTCTTTCGCAACTTCACCTTGGAAACGATAGTGGAACGATACAGGCAGGCGGCGAGGGCAGCTACAGCCATTATGTGTGATCTGTGTAAACCCCCACCACAAGAATCCACAAAGAGCTGCATGGATTGTAGCGCAAGTTATTGCAACGAATGCTTCAAAATACATCATCCCTGGGGAACTTTGAAAGCCCAGCATGAATATGTGGGACCAACTACCAACTTCAGGCCAAAGGTAAGTAGCTTGTTTTCAGGATGTAATAGTACCAGCATGTCTCTTAGTGTGTATACAACTTGTGTGTGAACTGTTGGAGAGAGTTTTCTTTCTTTTTCTTTTTTGGTATTTTTGCATTTGCATGTGTGTGTGCCTGTGCCTGGAAGTTATGGCGACCTCTGGCAAGTGACTTTAGCCTACCTCTGGCCTCCCATCCTTGGTATTCTCTGGAGGTCTCCCATCCAAATACTTGCCAGGGTTGGCCCTGCTTAGTTTCCAAGAGCTGACAGAGATCGGGCTTGCCGGGGCTATCCCGGTCAGGGCAACTGTTGCAGAGAATTTTCCATGTGCTTTTTCTTTTTCAATTACTTTGCTTTTGAGATGGTTGCTCCAGTGGTTGAGGAATGAGCCCTAATGCATTTACATACCTCCTATGTTCATAGGGTATGCTTTGGAGAATGTTATGTTTTAGATCAGGGGTGTCGAATTCATTTGTTATGAGGGCTGGATCTAACATAAATAAGACCTTGTTGGGCCAGGCCATGTGTGTCACAAAATGTAATGCCAGATAGCGGAGATATAAACTTTATAAAGGACACAAACACAAAGGTGGTGTTTTTTTACATAAAATAGAAACATGCTTAAAACATTAGCACTCTTGCAATATTTTGTTTATGTAACAGAGTCTGATAACTGACACCTCTTGCTCTGAATTACTGCATCAAAATGTCTATGCTGTTGCAATCTTGTGTATGCTGTTCAGGTGTGTATCTGTAAGATGCAAACCTACGATGATGCAGCAGCAGCAGAACTGGAAGAAGAAGCAGAAGACAGCCAGTTCCACTGTGAGCCTGATAGAAGCCCTCCGGGGGCCTGATTTGGCCACTAGGCCACATGTTTGACACCCCTGTTTTAGATAACTTACCTCTCAAACTAAAATTTGGGTGTAAACACAGTTCTGAATGGTTTGTACTCTGAAAATAGTACAAAGTTATTACCCTTGGGATACTCTGGGCTGCATTCAAACTATTTCTAAATTCAGATGTTACAAATAAATTAGAATTTAGTAGTGGCTCAAATTTCCTTTTAGGCAGGATTACTCATATGCATTGAAACTGCAATTTAAAAAAAATATTGATTTGTTTTGGTGTTTGCTTGTCTAGCATTAACATAATAGATTATGGAAGCAGGTATTGAGAGTGTTTGAATGTGACTGTGGACCAAAAATGCTTAGTGTCTTTTTGCTGTGTTTTACTTCTAATTTTAATGTAGAAGCTTGTTGCATGGGCAGCGTTACAAGTTAAAATGAATTGAAATAAAATCTCCATCTTGACACTGTAATTATAAGGCAGTATAGTATCAATTACCTTGTGCTTTATCTGTCCGTGTATGTAAATATCATCCATCACTTTGTTTGAACAATAATATCTTTGTTATAATTACGCATGCAAAAAGTACTCATGCTTGTATTTGAGGAATTTAAACAGTAGCTTTTTATTTAAGTACATGCAATGTAAAACAGTTGCATTATACTTGTCCAAGTGTTGTGTGAATTACAGAGGAATGGCCTCTATGAAATAAACTTTGAAGGAACTTGATCATACTGACTTTGGCTTTGGGAAGTCTGTGGTATATTCGAGGAGAAGAAGAAAATATTTTTTTTAAAAAGAGAGAATTCACCAACAAGGTTTAGTAACTTGGGCTAACTCTTCTGGTAGCTTCAGGGACCGTGAACAAAAACAATGTGCAAGTCTGATAATGCATTTTTAAATGATTTCAGAAAGACTGAGAAGATTTTTGCCTTTCCACAATCTTTGATAAATAGGTAAATCACTCACCTCCCACTTTTCTTAAATATATGCAGGTTTTTTGTTAGTAGAAAAGGGACTTTGTAGGACTTGTAATTTATGTGCAACAGGTGTTCTTGCACACTGCTAAGTGGGATGAAAACCAGGACTTCAGGGAGGGAAGGGTTATAACCAGCAAAAAGGCAAGTGAAGGTTAGACGAAGCTCACTCTGTGGTGAGTGAAACTGTCCCATAGTAGTAACTCAGACACAATGGGGGTGAAGAGTTCTGCTGATAGTGGGCAACACTAAGTCACATGACAATTGTGACGTTTCAGAATAAATAGGCCTTCCTTGGAAAATGGACAGATTGCCATTGGTACATTTTTTAACCTCAGTGTATTCAGTAGTCATGTGATCTGATTAGATTTTTTTTAAAAAATGCTGTCATCTGGCTTTGCAGCTATAATTATAGAGTTAGTCGCATGGTACTCTTATTGTGGACAGATTTTTTAACCTCAGTGTATTCAGTAGTGATGTGATCTGATTAGATTTTTTAAAAACAATGCTGCCATCTGGCTTTGCAGCTATAATCATAGAGTTAGTCGCATGGTACTCTTATTGTCTGCCTTCAATTAAAATAGTTACAAGTTCAGGTAGTGACCACAGACTTGTGTTCATATGACAGTATCCTAAAAATGGTTACAATAACACACATAATAAAAGGAAATGTATGGTAAACAGTGCATCATTATTTTATATGTCAAAATCACCTCCAGTACATTTATTTATTTATTTATTTATTTATCGAATTTCTACCCCACCCTCCCAGCCAGAGCTGGCTCAGGGTGGCTTAAATAAAAACGAATAAGTTACATTAAAGCAAACATAAGTTTCAATTGAAACCATTCTAAAACCATAATCAAGCGCTAGTAGTCGTCGTTTGTTTGATGGTGGCAGCCATTATTTGGTGTTCTTAACTCACAGTCGGCTCGCAGTGTTCATTTTAAATTGTCCTTGCAGTGATTGATGTCCTTTAGGCTGTTGGTAGAAGTTACAGGGATCCAGGGCCCTCTCACATTCGGCTATTAGTTGTTCACTATTGGTGGTGGTGGCGGCTCTCAAAAGCCTGGTGGAAGAGCTCTGTTTTACAGGCCCTGCAGAATTGCAAAAGGTCCCGCAGGGCCCTGATCTCCTCCGGGAGCTCATTCCACCATGATGGGGCCGCCACCAAGAAAGCCCTTGGTCCTGGTTATTGACAGCCTAGCCTCCTTAAGATCCGGGAGGGCCAGTCGGTTTTGAGTCCCTGATCGCAGTACTCTCTGGGGGACTTGTGGGGAAAAGCAGTCCCTCATGTATGTAGGTCCCTGACCATATAGGGCTTTAAAGGTAAGAACCAGCACCTTGAAACAAATCTGGTATGCTATCGGCAGCCAGTGCAGTGCCTTTAGCACAGGCTGTATGTGCTCCCGTATGGAGTCCCTGATCGCAGTACTCTCTGGGGGACTTGTGGGGAAAAGCAGTCCCTCATGTATGTAGGTCCCTGACCATATAGGGCTTTAAAGGTAAGAACCAGCACCTTGAAACAAATCTGGTATGCTATCGGCAGCCAGTGCAGTGCCTTTAGCACAGGCTGTATGTGCTCCCGTATGGAGAGCCCCATCAGAAGCCTGGTTGCGGTATTTTGCACCAGCTGCAGCTTCCAGATTTGAGACAAGGGCAGCTCCATGTAGAGAGCATTACAGTAGTTCAGTCTTGAGGTGACCATCACATGGATTACTGACGCCAGGTCATTGCATTCGAGGAAGGAAACCAAATGCCTGATTAGCCGAAGATGGTAAAAGGCAGACTTGGAAGTGGCTGCTACCTGGGCCTCCATAGTTAAGGAGGCATCCAGGAGCACTCCCAAACTCCTAACATGTGGTGCTGGCACCAGTGGTGCCCCATCAAAGGTTGGGAGCAGGAACCCTACCATCAGACTGCCCTGGCTCAGGCATAGGACCTCCATCTTTGTCAGATTCAATTTCAGTCAGTTCAGCCTAAGCCAACCAGCCACTGCTTGTAGCACCCGGTCCAGATCTTCTGATTTGGAGTCAGACTGACAGCCCAACAACAGATAGAGCTGGGTGTCATCCGCACACTGGTGACATCCCAGCCTATGCCTCCGGGCAATCTGGGCAAGAGGGCGCATATAGAAGTTGAAAAGCATTGGGGACAGCACTGCTCCTTGAGGCACACCACAGTCCGGTGGGTGCCTCTGGGATAGCTGTTCCCCCAGTGCCACCCTTTATCCCTGACCTTGGAGAAAGGAGATAAGCCACTGCAAGGTCAGCCCCTGAATTCCAGCGTCGGCAAGGCGATAGGTCAGTAGCTGATGGTCAGCTGTCCTGAACACTGCCAATAGGTCCAACAACAACAGCACTACTGATCCGCCTCGATCCAGAGGCCTCCGGAGATCATCTGTGAGGGCGACCAGCGCTGTCTCCATCCCATAGCCTGGGCAAAAGTCAGACTGGAAGGGGTCTAAAATGGAAGCATCATCCAAAAAGCCCTGTAATTGAACCACCACTGCCCTCTCTATTATCTTGCCCAAATAGGGCAAGTTGGAGACCAGCTGGTAGTTGGCCAATTTGTCCGGGTCCAAAGGTGGCTTTTTCAAGAGAGGGTGGAGTACTGCTTTCTTAAGTGCCTCCAGGAACAGTCCCTCTGAGAGGGACTTGTTGATAATCTCCCGCAAGGCACCTTGAAACCCCTCGTGGCCACTTTTAATTAGCCACAAAAGGCACTGATCAAGGGAGTAGGCGGTAGGGCGGACAGTTACGAGCAATTTGCTTCTAATTATTGAAAATGTGAGTAGTTCCTGATATTGATTATTACCCATCCAAACATTTTGGCTGGGCTTGCTGGACAGATGTCACATTGCTGTTACTAATTCCTTCTCTTTCCCAAATCCTCTGTGCATACTAGAGCAGGAGGAGAAGGGGCTGTCTCACACTGTGCTGAGTATTTCAACCAAGCTACAAGGGGAAAAGACTAGTGTCACAGGAGTCCCAAATATACAAATTCCACTAGTAGAAAACACCATCAAAGATTGCCAAAACAATACATTAAACAATTATAAAGTTGGTGGTGTCACAACAACATTAATGCATACTGTAACTATAATAAGGCATAAGATACAATATTTCGTCCTTTGAAGATAAAGACATAAAGTCCATGTAGTCAGTGTAACTTG